GAAACAAAGAACTAGTGCGAAAAGGGGGGTTAGGTTCCAAAAATTAAAAAACATGCTGTTAATTAAATCCTTATTTAAATCGGATTTATTATTCATTTTTTTCATAGGTAAAATACTTATTTATTATTTAAGTAAATATTTTACCAGAGGATTATTCATCTTATATGATGATCTCAGCATGAGCATCATCAACTGGTAACAGTTTTTGGATGCATTCGTTAATAGCAGTCATTCTGCAACGGGAGTGCACTGCTGTTTGTAGGCATTTAGAAACGACAGTGAAAGAAAGATGGTGGCGCCTCCACTATTGATAGTATCATGATGGAAGAATCTATAGTTCTAAAATGAGCTTTTAGAGGCAAAACAAGGGTCCCGATTGTAAAATTTAACCATTAAATGAATTATTTGTTGAAAGAGCATTCAAAGTAGCCACGAAAACAATTAGAATGCTCGTGCGGAGTTACACAGAAGTATAAAAGAACGCACCCTTTATTACATTTCATGTTGTACAAGGGTCTACCCAATTCCCGAACTGTGTTAGAGTGAACCCATGCTATAAAAGCACTGTGGTATATGGGGATGTTTCCAATTCTCGAACCATGTTAGAGTGAATCCGTGCTATAGAAGTTATATGGGGGCTACCTGTACAAACATCCAGAAACCCAATATATATCAGTAATATGATAAACAACTGCCAGATTAAATTGGGCTACTTCTACTACTATTATGTGAAATTAATTTCTAAATACAGTAGAACCTCGATTATCCGGACTAATTGGGGATGAAGGTAGTCCGGATAATTGAAACAAATACTTTAATTTGTCTTTTAATTATAATACAACACGTTTTCTTTTCGATGACATATCGGTAATATTAAAAGTAAATACTGTATTTAAATCGTGATCACATTTTCAAGAAACAAACGTTCATATTACATTTGGACTAATACTGACCAACGCTAACAGACTACCTATTGTTTAAAAGGCCCTCTGGTGGCGCAAAAAGACGGATTTTATAAAATAAAAAGCAGTTGAAACTGCATTTTTATGAATAAAATTTTGACAAACTATTTATCATTTTATGACGAGTAAAATTTTTTTGTCGCATTCATGGCTTTTAAGTAATGCATAAACCTTCGAGGCGCAAGGCCCTTCGGACTGCGAGGCATAGGCGGTGGCCCACGTCGTCCATGCCTTATGCCGTCCTTGGTCATAGAAATGATGTAATTTGAATATATATTATTTATAAATACGTATGTCAAATTATATTTTTATTACGATGTAAAATATATTTAAGAGTTTACGACCACTGTGATGGGTGAGACGTTGTTGAAACAAAAAAAGTTATGCGTTCCATCACGTACATAAAGAGTGTCGTAATTCGCCAAGTGCAAATCAGCAAATTTGTAAAATTTTTGTTTATTTTGAACAATCCGAATAATCGAAAATCCAGATAATGGAGGTTCTACTGTAATTACTAAATTGTTGTCATTAGAGATGACACCTAACACCTGCCTCTAGTGACAAATTTAGTTTACATAAATTTTTCAATTATTAGTTCTGTATATTATAGAAGTATTGAACTAGATTTATTACAAAAGGCTGCAGCTGACATAGGCAAGGAATGGAAAACAAAACTCCAAATTGTCCATGAAAATTCATAAGATCTATATTGGATTCAAAAACATGGATTCCTCATGACGCTAAAAAAATTTTAAACAATACAGTATTCCAATCAACATAGTTTTACTATGTAAAAGATGACATGCTATTAAAAATCAAATTTTAAAATGTTATAAAAATTCTATTAATATATTCCAAATTTTCAAACTACTTACTGTTGTTAATTCTTCTGCATTTCTAATTAACTGATTTTTCTGAATGTCAAGTTCTGTTAATGCAGCCGATTTCTGTAAGGTCTGTTCTTCGATTGCTAAACTCATTTCCTCGTTCTTTCCTTCTAAACGCTTTTTAAATTCTTCTGCTTGCCTTTGAAGGGCATTTTCCATTTCTTTATCCTATTGAAAAAGTATATCAGATTGAAATAATGTTCTTTTCTGTTTTACAATTTATTTCTTTAATTAGAACTTGCCTTTTCTGATAATTCTTTCTGATGTTCTTTCAGAAGATCATCAATTTTTATCTTCCATTCTTCTTCAGCAACACTTATCTTATTTTTACATTCCTCCTGTTCATTATAATGAAATTACATTGCAATAAACAGACAATTATAATTATTCTTAAACTTGGAAATGAAAATGTAATGTTGATTATAATTTTTCATGTCTGATAAATAAATATTTATTAGAAAGACAAATTATTATTATGTAATGATGTCACAATAAGTAAATTGCTTTTAATTTGTTGATTCACAATTTAAATCTGTAGTCTTTTTAATAAAACAGTTCTTAAACACTCATCAAACTGACAAAATGTACAAGTTAGCTTTCCATTTACATGTTGTTTTCATGGAACCAATTACATGAATAAATAAAGGGATTATTGTATATGAAAATATTCTAGAATATTCAACAAAAATTGTGTTAATCAGTATACTAACAGAAATTATCATATTTTAAAACATTAATTTATAAAAAACAGAATAAAATATTATTATTATTATTAATTTATTTAGCAAATAAGAATAAAATTCTCAAAGTTTTCATACAAATTTGAATACTATACTAGTTTTTATCAATCCACAAATGAAATGATATCTATTAAATGGTAATGAATCAAACGATGCAGCTTGAAATTAAATTAATTTCTTACTATTTTAAAATAACAAATACAACAACTTTTCACTTATCACCATCAATAGATTTTTGTAAACTGCAAAACAATGTATAACAAAACCAATTATACCATAGGCAACAGTCGCACTGCATAACACAAAAATCACCACTTGGCGATATTTTTATTAAAGTGGCAATAAAAATTTAACACTGGTGATAAAATCCTAGTTTGCCTGTTTCGACATTTTGAAATTGAATTACAAACTGCACTTCAGGAAAAACAGCAAAATATCAAGCTTCTGTACAATGGGAATCCTGTACACCATACATCTAGCGATTTCATGATGTCACGTGGCAAGTTGGGGAAGAAAAGTAGGAAGTGACATCGAGAATCAAAAGTAGTTTTGTGCAAACTTGCCCAAAATTTCTAGATTGGGATTTTTCATTGACAGAAATTTTGGGAAATTTTTTAGGATGACTTTTTTCACTTTGATTTTTTTTTCAGTAGAATTAACCAAAAATTTTGACATGACAGAACCTGTGAAATACTATTTTTGTTATATTATTGTCTACTTAGGACTCAGCATATTATTAGGACTTATAATACTGGTGTTTTCGCCAAGTGAAAAATAAAGATTGTTTTTTCTGAATAAGACTTCCTCTTTTTACAGAATCAAAAACACCAGTATAATAAGTCCTAATAATATAGTGAAAAATCGAACGTCAATATAAACAATTTAACATCCTAACATCAACTTTCACACCTGGGAGTAAATCATTTGTTAAGTTCTCAGTAGTAAAACTAATGCTTTCTCATTACCTCCTGACCTACTATCTCAATTTATCCATTTCAATATAGCCAGAAACTGCAAATTTAGGCAGTCGCCACCAGTCCTTCAACAGAATATCATCCCTTATCTAGTGCCCAATTTAGTGCCAACGGATATACCTAATTTTTGCGGATATCGCGGTTCAATGGATACTTCCTTATTTACGGGTATGCATTTTGAAGAGAAACTCTATCTCAGGGGACAAAGATACATTGCTACACGATTTAGAACGAGCATCAGACTATTTTCGACCATCATCACTCCAAGGTATTTATTGCCATGTGAATCTCATGTAAATTCTCTCTCACAACCACTTTTCTTTAAAGATCCCTTGAAGTTAAGGCCTAACAAACTGTGACAAAATTGTAAATTGTATCATGTTGTCTAGATAATTGAATTGTTATTAGTTGTTAACTTAGTACCCGAGTGATTCACTTCTGGTATGCTGTCTCTCAACTCATCTTCATCCCGGATCTGATCACACAGCTGCTCATGTGACCAAATCAACATGACGTCTTGGCTTCTGTGTCAATCGGGACATGATAGTGTCAGTCCTGATGAGGAACTAAAGAGGTGTCGACCCTCCGGTCACAATATGCTAAGTCCTAAGTAGACAATAATATAACAAAAATAGTATACAATAAAGACATAAAGGCAATTGAATTAACATGTAAAATACTGTTTAAACATTGTGATCAAATGTGTTATTCAGAATTATTCATTAAAAAATTATTCAAAAATGATTGATATTGCTAGCAAGGGAAGGACCAGACATTTGGGTCTCCGATTTGAAACTTGGTGAGCACATAGCCTTAAACACTAACAGCTCCTTGTCTAAATAATCCCACTTCTCAAGTGTTTCCAAAAATTGGGTCTCTGAAAATTTAGTGTTTATCTCATAAGTCTTTAGAAATTTTGCATCCCAAAATGGAGATAGATAAGTGAATAAGACACTAAGCCAGTGATTCTCAACCTTTCTGAGATTGCAGAACACTATTCACATACTTTTTATTACACAAAGTATTAGCATCAACATATTCAAAAACTGATTAGCAATTCCATGTTTGCTATTCTCAGAAAATACAGTGGGGGCGCTACTCGGCATCGTCGGTGCTGGTGAGTTTTCGCCTGACCTTGTGTGGACTGTAGTTGTGGTGTTTATTAATTTTAATTGTAACCTAACGTTTTTGGTTTGTTAATGTATTTCACGTCATTGTATTTGTTGTTAATATTGCTAATTATGGCCAGAATAGAAACTAACCCCGGTCTGTTACAACAATCTCCTCCTGGCTCAAGTCAAATAGCTATGCAAAAGAAGGGGTGCGGTCATCCTAAAAAGGCACCTTGTTCTGATAATACAAGTCATGTAATGGAAATGATTAACGACGATGACATTATAGACGAAGACATAAGAGAAAACATTGGGACAACAAGAAAATCTAGAATTATTGATTATTTTGAATTATCAGATCAGTTCGCTCAAAGTGGCGCAGTTGAACCGGAATACTCGCTAAAATCAATCTATGAGCTAATACAGAGTAAATTTGAACTACTAAACCAGGAAATTAGTGCTATTAAACAGGAAATAAGCCGAATACAGTTAGACAATGTTCAAATTAAAGAAAACATGAAAGCCATTAATCAAAAAATTCTTATAGGAGAAGAGAAAATGAAGACAGTCTTACATTTGAAAGGTATGTTTGAATTCCAATTGGATAGCATTACTAATGAAAACAAGAATATGAATTTGATAGTTATTAATTTTCCTTTTAAATCAAATGACAAGTTGAAGGAGTTCATTGAGTTTATTGAGATTGAGCTTAATTTAAAAAATATTCTAATTGATCATTTAATTCCATTGGGAAAAAGTAATTCCATGAATAATATAATGAAAATAGTACTGGCATCAATTAAAGATAGAAATCTTATTCTCAAGGAATTTTGGCAGAATAAATCAAAATTTGCTAATGAAACTGCTAACATTATTATGAAGTCGGATTTATGTTATAGATCCAGAATTAGAAGAAAAAATTTGATTAAGAAAATCAAGACAGAATTTGTTGCTGAAACTAAATTAATTGTGAGGGATGATTACTTTATTAAAAATAATCTCAAATACTCTTTGGACATGACACTAATGAAATTATTCCAATTGACCATTTTTTATATCATGCAGACTAGATTCTATGCATAAAACAACCGATATGTGTAATAAACAGTATAACATTGATGATAACATTTGGTCAACACTCAAAAAAGATAACGATGATGCCGATGATCACAATCTTGATAGTAACAATCACAGTGAAGATATAAAATATATGAAATATATTAAAACTTCAATCACATTTTGGAATTGTCAAGGTTTGAAAACTAAGTTACATGCGCTCAAAGCGAAATCATTTATAAATTTAAATGTGATAGTCGGATTTACTGAGACTTGGTTAAGGGAACTTAATTCAATGGAAAAAGAGTATTTTGAAGCTGATAATTATATAGTATTTAGTGAAGCTCATAGAGTAAATAAGTACGGCCGTCCTTCTGGTGGAATTTTACTTTTGGTGAAAAAGTTTTTTGGATCAATCATTTACCAACACACTACATTGAATTACATAGTGGCTATAATTAAATTAAAAAAAAAATTAAATTCTGAGATTAATGAATATCACCTAGGAATTATAGTCACATATCTTGCACCTTCTAATGATAAAAAGACGATCCTCACTGCAATTCAACATCATATGAACAGATGGACTTGTTTAACTCAGAGTTGGATTATTGGAGGTGATTTCAATTCTCGCATTGGTGAAAATATTGATACTAAATTTTACCAAAATTTTGAGAATATTAGTAACATAAGAAAATCCAAAGACAAAAAGCTCAATTGTGAAGGCAAAATATTATTGGACTTCGTGCAGGAAAATCAATTATTTATACTAAACGGTAGATTAAATGGCGACGTTCCGGCTGAATTTACTTATTTATGCAATGATAGTAAGTCAATAATTGATTATATGATATGTTCTGAGGTTTTGGTGGATCAGTGTATGTCCCTGACAGTTTTAAATGAGGATTCATCTGATCACTTCCCTCTGCAGCTTATAATACAAAATGATAAATCCATGACAAAATGTTATAGAGAAGCTCAACAAATAAAAAATAAAAACAACTATAACCTAAGGTTTAACTTACAGAAATGGTTAAATTCTTCAGAATCCATAACAGAAAATCTGTTAATGCAAGAAAAAAATAATGATCCTATTTCAAACTATCGGAAATTAATGTCTAAAATATCAGAATGCCAGGTAAAATATCGATGTATGACTACAAATACCAAATATAAAAATTCTTGGTTTGACAACTGTTGTTATCAATATAAATTAATTAAACAACATTGCTTAAAAACTTTTAGAAAGACAAATTTGTCTGAGGATTTGAACAAGTATATTAATAGTAAGAAAATTTACTCAAACTTAATAAGAGCAAAAAAGAAACGATATTTGGTGAATTTAAACAAAACATTAATGGAAGTTAAGAATTCGAGCTCCTTTTGGAAAATCATTAATGATTATCGGCAGAAAAGACAAGGATATACCAGTCAAAGAACTATCAGTCATGAGGAT